CCCGTGCTATTCATCCCACTTCACCCTCAGCCCCGCCTCGTGCAACGTTACTGAGCATTTATGTGCCAAGGTGACCTAGCTCCTCATCTGATCTTTTCTCCCACCTCTGAGGCAGGGGCCGTTGTTCTGCCCATTTGACAGCTGGGGAAATGGAGGCCTCGGAAGGTTAAGCAAGCCCCAGGCCTCCAGGCTCAGAGGTGCTAGATCTGGGAGTCTGACGCCAGCATACTGCTGATCCCCGGGGTAGCATTTGTCACCTGCCATGCGGCATTATATTTTTTTTTCCTTTCCTCATCTGCATCCCCTGTTAGGATATGAGGTTTGTCCCTGAAGGCAAACCGGATCTTGCTCCACAGTGGGCGCCCTGCAGCGCCTTCGCCCGGGGCCCGAGCGCCAACCGATGGATTGAGGCCAGCGTGGAGTGGCTGCCAGACTGAGTCGTCCCTCCTGGGGGACCCCCCCACATGCCTGACTGCCAGAGGCCCGGGCGTCAGGGCCTCTTCCCACACTGCTCAGAAGCCCAGGCCAGCAGCTGTGGGCCCATGCAGGCCCAGGCTCCCTCTCCTGCTCTGCCCTGAGCTCACCACTACTGGGCCTTCACCCAAGGGAGACAGGGAAAGCGAGGGGCAAGTGACATCAGCCACCCTCCCTCTTTGTCGGCACCTCAGTGCTGAGCTCTAGTTCGGGGAAGGTGAATGCGGGGGAATTTCCTCATCTCTTCATTTATTACGTCAGAAGATAAGTAAGGTCTCTGGACAGTCACCTGTGCATCCCCAGTGCCTTGTGCATTCAGGAAGCTAGTATCACCATCACCTCTAACCTTAGAAGGCGGGTGCTGTCATAAGCCCCATTTTACAGATGAGAATACTGAGGCTCATGTTACATAACTTGCCCAAGTTCCACGGCCAATAAGTGGTAGAGCCACATTTCAACCCAAGGCTGCCTGGGTGTAAACTTTGTTCTGGACATGCTGCCACTCCACAGAAACAGCTACAGAATCCGAAAGACCTCTGCTTTTTTCACGGGAAAGATCTTCTAGCTTTGAGTTATGAACTGCATGCACAGTTAGAGCGTCTGAGGGCCAGTTGATAGCTCTTTGCAGACGTTTTCTCTTTGAACTTAACAACAACCTGTTGGGTTTGTATTACTGTTAATCCCCACTTTACAGATGCGGAAACTGAGGCTGGGAGGGGGCAATGACAGCCCCTATGCCACGTGGCTAGATAGGGACATTGCCAGCATTCATATCCAGATGTATCTGCCTGACCCCAGAGTCTGACCACCAAACTCTGTGTCGGGTCGGCTCAGCAGAATCCCAGACTTTCTACGCAGGGTACGAAACCAGATGCTCTCAGTCTTTGTTCTGTATTCATGCAATGGGATCAGGGAGGCACTGCTTTTTCGATAGGAACCTGTCCTGAAATCGATTCATTCGTTTCCTTCCACTGACCCAGGGTCACTGGGTTTTTTTGTGTCATGAGGGTCAAGACTTCACCCGTTTCTTGCGTTCACGTTTCCTTAATAATTTCTCAAGCCCAGCCAGCCCAGTGGGCAGCCTCTGGCAGGTTTCCCGTTTTGGATAAGAGGTCACTGGCTCCAATCTGGTTTCAGAACTTCCACCGATCGTGACTCCACGTGGAGTAATGTACCCCTTAGGTTGGTGGAAGGTAGCAAGGACGTTTTCTGTGCCTCACAGAGCGGTGTTAGCACCTTGTAGGTGGCCCTGGGGCTGGCCCACCCCTTGCTCCGTCCCCGAGTGCGCCCCCACGCCACCACCACCACCGAGGGCTACTGGGCGGACGGAGTGAGGAGATGCCTCCTTTCGCAAAAACAGAGGACTCGCTCCAGTCTTAGCTCTGCTGCCACCTGGGAGAGGGTGAGGAGTTCCCATCTCTGGGCCTTGGTGTCGCCGTCGGAAAATCACAACCTGGTATCAGTTGTTCACGAAGGTATTTTCCAACTCTGAAGCTCTGGGTTGCAAGGACTCTCAGGGTGTGAAATCACTCCAAAGCCCTCAGGACAGAAGTGCATTTATACCGCTGACGTCATTCACTTGGTGTCTTACTCACCTGTGGGCCGGGTCGTGGCTCATGCTGTCGTGTAAAAGCAGCACAGCCCAGGTGCTTAGGCTGGCGAATTTAGATAGGCCTGTAGCGCTCTCCTTGTTCCTGTTACATGCCCATCATCCCAAATGGGCCATCCCTAAATGAGGGAAAGGCAGTGAAGGGACTCACACACACACACACACACACACACACACACACACACACACACACACAAAGCTGAATACTGGAAAGGCCTTAAGGTGCTGGCACAAAAGTAACCTGCCTGGCACTTGGGATACAGAGTTGGCCGAGGCCTGTCTGAGCCACCGCAGAAGAGGGAAATTAGTTGAACTGGCATCATTCAGGGCTCTAGACCTATGATCAGGGTGACACAGCTTGAGACATAGGGTGCTAGGTGTGTCTAGGTGTGTCTGGCCCTCTCCAGGAAATACACCACGTGCACAAATAAAGGCCAAACAGAGTGGCTTACGTGTACCTTTTGAACAGTGAGGAAATGGGATATTGTTGAAACATCCTACTTGATTATGACATAAATTGACTTTTTGGGTGTCTCTCAATCCATAGCTCACGCATACACTATATAGTCTGTTAATACATATTATAGGTCATCTCTCTACAGCTAGGAAATGACTCTTTAGACCTCCGGTTTGCTTAACGGCTGCGGGTCCAAGTTGCATCCCTTGGCTTCTGTAAGTCCCCTACGGCAGTGAGATTGAACGGTGGTGAGCCGGGCATTTGGCACGGGTGACAAATGTGTGTGATGTCAACTGTAGAACCCACTCGTGTAAAAGCAGTGCTCGGTCAGGAGTTCTCAGAATGGAGCACGGGACCACCACCCCTAGAATTGGCTTGTAGAGTTACCGCAGGACAGCCGTTGAGAGCAGGTACCCAGGACAGCCATACCTTCTGAGTCAGAATCTCCTGGGAATCCACACTTTGCCAAACCTCCACTGTGCCCCTTCCACACCCTAAAGATTGAGAGCTGCTCTTAGACCGAGTGGCAGGCTTGCTGTCCTGCTGGCTACACTGTTCTCATCTGTAATATTTATCATGGGAAAGCAAATTACTATTCACCAAATGCCTACTACGTGCATGGCTCCATGCCAAGTGCCTCCGTGTGGGCTCTCAGTGAATCCTTAGAACATCTCTGAGAAGTAGACATTATGGTCTCCATTTTACAGAGCGAGACACTAAGACCTGAAGGTGTCAAGTGATTTGGGCAAAATATGAGTAGCTGAACATTCTGGTGAGTCTAGGAAGAGCACCAGGAAGCAAACCAATGAAGCCAGTTGGTCCAGGGAGGGAGAGACCAGAAAGGGAAACTGACGGGCACAGGCCCCTGCCTCAGAAGATCATCGCCCTCTGGGGAGGTGCCATCAGCACCCTGGCTGGGAGACAGTTGGCGCCATTTGAATCTGTGCCGTGGAAACTTCCTCCCTGCGCCCTCCTGCCAGCTGTGGCTTCTGCCCCCCCCCTCCCCCCCCACCGAGCATCAGTCAGCAGGTGCGCGGGACGTCTGCCCTCTGACTTCTGATTTCCCAGGAAATCCAGTCCCCCGAGCAGCATGGGGGCCACATCCCTTCACCATTGTCCCTGTTCCTGGCTACCATTCACGGGAAGCCGGTCCAGCTTGGCACCAGCCCCGTCCGTATTCCTGCGCCCCTCCCCAGGCCTCCGGAAGCCCAAACAGCTGATCTGAAATGGACATGCAGCCCCTCCAGCCGCACCTGGCCGGGCTGAAAGGGAGCCCTGGCAGCGGCACCCCACGCCAGGCCTTCCCAGAGCAGCCCCTGGCTCCAGCACCCTCTCGCATGATCCCCCCACCTCCTGTTTCCTGGCCTCCCCAGTCGGGTGGAAAGTGCCAGTCTCCCTCCCTCCCCATCACAGGCGGCTGCAGCCACCCCGCGACCGTTTCCACCCTGGGCTGCAGCTGCAGGGTCTGTGCCAGAAACTTCGGTGGGAGGCCCGGGCGGGGCTGCAGGCTCAGGCACCAGGAGGCCCATGCAGCCGCATAGCCGTTCCGTGGCCTTTAAAATCCCTTCCGTGGCCTTTAAAATCCCTTCTGTCCCCAAGTTACTCATTCACGCCTGCACTCACTGTTCACTCGTTTGCTCATTCGACAAAGCTTTGAGGGTCCGCTGCGTGCGGGTGCTTGGGCATACAGAAGGAAGCAAAAAAGTGAGAGCTCCCTGACCTCCCGCGAGCTTACATTCTGGGAGGGAGAGCCCCGCAGAAGTTGCAACAAGAGCATCAGAAGGAGGTGAGCACTAACCAGGAAACGGGGTGTGAGAGCTGATGTTCCGGCAGTTTCTCTTTTTTTTTTTCTTTTGAACGTTTTATTTATTTCTGAGAGAGAGACAGTGTGAGTAGTGGAGGGTCAGAGAGAGAGAGAGAGAGGGAGGTACAGAATCCAAAACAGTCTCCAGGCTCCGAGCTAGCTGTCAGCACAGAGCCTGATGTGGGGCTCAAACCCAAGAACCGTGAGATCATGACCTGAGCCGAAGTCGGACACTTAACCGACTGAGCCACCCAGGTGCCCCTCCGGCAGTTTCTCTTAATAACTAACTGTTGCTGATGGAGAACTTTCCTAATTGCTCCCTGGGACTCCTGCGGTCCAGCCGGCTCCACCTGAGGTCCCCCACCCCAGTTGCGTTCCGTTAACCGAGCAGGGGCAGCGTGGGGCAGCAGGGTGCTGCTTAGAACAGCCTGCTCTAAGGAAGGCACCTCCTTACTAGCCTTAGTAACCCCAGACGCCTGGTGAGGGTGCCAGCTGGTGGCCCTGAGGCAAACCCAGCCCAAACAAGTATGGTTTGGCCCATGTATTAAAAAAAAAATTTTTTTTAATTGTAGCTAACATTTAAGAATGCCAAGATTTCACATGAAATCTGGTTTTCTGGCTTCTCTTGGAAATTGAAACATCTTGAAAGACCAGGTTCCCGTTCCCTTGTGGCAACACGAGCAGGATTCAAGTGGCATTCAGCTTCTGCCTGGCTCCGGAGGGCATTCTGAACTTGCACCCCGAATCCAGGTCACACATTTAGACCCCGCATATGAAAGGAGTCGTTTGTCCGTTAGCCCGAAACCTCTGCTGGCTTGTTTCTGTCCACAAAGCTCCTGAGGTTAAGAAAAGCCCATCAGAACCCGTAGCTCCTGCGGCCGCGTCAGCTGCGCCTGGCTGGGGTTTTGCATCCGGAGCCCAGCACCGGGGGCCCTCAGGCACCCAGCGTCTCATGCACCCCTGCCTCATCTGCCAGAGCCCAAAATGCTCCCCATCTGTGCACCTTCTTCCTTTTGCTTTGGAAAGGTAGGAAAAGCTCCTGCAGACGTTCAGTCCTTTTCATCAGGCCTTGCTTCCGTAGCGACAGGTTCAAATCCTCAGCAACCCGTTTTCTGGCAATGTTAAACCCTTTACGTTGCGCAACAGATTCAGACCAGATTGTTTCTTCCGAGGTTCAGTGTTTTTCTCCTTTCTTTTCTAAACATAAAAGTGTTTAAGCATTATATAATTCCTGGTAGTTCCCTAAGGAGCATCCAAACATCTCTGAGAACTGTGGCCTTCCAGACCTTTGACCTGACCCTGCCGAATGATCGGAAAGCCCCTTCATCTTAAATCTGAGGACCAGGAAAGTGCATTTTGCCCAGGATCATACTCAGGCATTGCTCGGGTTCTGTATGTGCTTGAATTTATAGCTGGTGGCATTGGAGCCTTGGGGGCAATGATTCCCCACCGGGGTGGCTTTAGACTAGAATCCCCTGGAGCTGGGCCACACTCAGAGCAATCACATCAGATCTCTGGGGTGGGCCCCAGGACTCAGTGGTGTTTAGCGGCCCCCTGTGATCCCAGTGATCTGCCAGGGTTAAAATCCTTGGCTCCAGCAGCTACCTGGGCTGGAGATGGTAACTCCCAGGCAGGTGTGCAGACCCTGGGAGCCCACACAGTGCAGGGTCTCAGAGCATCTGAACCCTGCCCCTGTCCCTTAGCTCCCCGATCACAAGCAAGCTACTTACTCTCCCTATGCCTCAGTTTCCTCATCCATAAATTGGGAGTACGAGCATACCTGTCTCCTAGAGCGTGAGGACTCACAGTGGCTGGTACATAGTAAGTGCCCAGCAGTTGGTAGCGAGGGTAATAAATGTGCGCCTCTTGTTTGCTGTGGCCGTGGTTCCTTCAGTGGCACCTCAAGACTAGCTCTTTTCGTGAGCGTTTGGAAATTTCTATGCCAGAAAGAAATGTGACAGAATCACAGGGAATCAGATCTTTAGCTTTCTCTCTCCTCCCCAATTCTCAGATCAGCGGGATGATGGCAGGGGGCAGCCGAGGTGCCAGAAGGGGTGTTGTATTAGAATTTCCAGGTGGAGAAACCGAGCCCGGGCTCACGCCAACAGTTGTTAATGGCAGGTTGCGCCAAGCCCCACTCACTTGATGCCTCCAAGTTTACCTTCTTCTCCGGGTGTCCGTTTCTCTGCATCTTCCCCACTGGACAGCAAAACCGGACAGCTGCTCCTTCCGGTTGGGTTCTTATGTCTGTAAGAAGTTGTAAACCACCACCAAAGATGTTTTAACTTACAGGAAACCAGCTTTTCTTCCTTTTAAGATGAAACGTGGCAAAGTTTTGAAAGACTTTTTCAAACAGTCCCTAAATTTGGTACTTAAACTAATTATAGATGCCTTTTTTAAACGTCCAACTTAAAAATAGACATCTAAATGAGGATGCAGGACACAGCCCAGAGCCTGTAGCCATGTTCACGGTTTCCTAGAATCAGCCCTCCTCTGACCTAATTTATACTTTTTGGAGATCAAAGGGAGATGAAGGGTGTCCAGGCTGAGGGCAGAGGTGGGTCTAGGAGCCTGTTGGCAGCAGACGATGAACCTGGGATCTATGTCCTGTGATTGAGAATAGCTGCGATTCAGTGAGTTCCTCATCATACGACCCTGTGGTTCTCAAAGTATGGCCCCTGGACCAGCAGTGTCCGCATCACCAGCGTGATGGGCTGAATTGCATCCCCATCCCCACCCCAAATTCATATGCTGAAGTCCTAATCCCCAGTAATCCAGAATGTAACTGTGTTTGGAGTTAGGGCCTTTAAAGAGGTGGTTAAGTTAAAATGAGTCCATTAGGGTGGGTCCTAATGCAATAGAACTGCTGTCCTTACATGAAAAGGAAGAGACAAGCATGCGCAGAGGGGACACGAAACAGGAAGGCCGACATCTGCAAGCCAAAGAGAGAAGCCTCAGAGGAAGCTAACCCTGCCTGCACCTCCAGAACTGTGCGAACATTAAATTCTACTGCATCAGGCACCCAGTCTCGGGGATTTTGTTACAGCAGCCGCTAACAAACTGGCACGCCTGGGATCTTGCTAGAAACAAACTCTCAGGTCCTATCTTCGATCCGCTGAATCAGTAACTTGGGGTGCAGTCCAGCAGACTGTGTTTTAACAGGCTCCCCAGGTGATTGCCATGCGTGCTGAAGGTCGAGAACCACGAACGTGAAGTATTCTTAATACCCAGTGGGAGCCAGCCCAGAGACAGAGGACATGTAGTTGGAAGTATAGCTGGTCTGCTAAAATATAAACCTCTTTTACTGGGTTCTACACAAGTCCCGGTGTGTCCTTTAAATGGGACGGTGGGTGTGAAAGTGCTCTGTAAATTCCGAAGCGACATGAAGTGGTAGCGATTGGTAATGGTAGTATTTTGTCAATGGAAGGAGGTAGCCATGTGAATACTCCAGCAGGAGCAAACGGAATCCAAGGATTTCCCTCCTCCACCGAAATTTGAGTCCTTTAAAATCTTGTACATTTTCCACCCCAACCAATTGGAATGTGTCTGAGAACAAAGGCGAGGAGATTGAATCCCCATTTCCCTTTTTGTCCTTGCTACTAGGAAGCCTACAACTAAGTGAGACTCTTAATCATGGCTTTCATGGTTAGTATATTTGTTTTTTCCTACTTGTGTGTTGTCCTTTGTTATGTTCTCTTCAGATACCCTTGAGAAAGACCAAAAAAGAAATAGGGAGAGAGAAAGTGTGAGAGAGGAAAGATATAGTTGGAAAAGACAGATGCCCTCTCACAAAGGACCAAACCATTCTTCATCAGTGAGTCCTCTCAGTCCCCTGTCTTCCTGATGTCCCATAGCTGTAGCCCCCGGGAGAGTTCACTGATACCCAAGGAACCTGTTAGTTGCTGAAGAGTTATGACCATTATAATAGCTCCTTTGAGTCCTGCTTGGGAACAGGTGTGGAAGGGACATGACCAGATTTGCATTTTTTGAGGTTAGAAGTCGCCATTTACCTGATTGCAATCTCTGCGTACTCTTGGTCCTTATAACAAACATGGAGGGGGCGCCTGTGTGGCTCAGTCGGTTAAGGGTCCGACTTCAACTCAGGTCATGATCTTGCGGTTTGTGGGTTCGAGCCCTGTGTTGGGCTCTGTCTGTGTTAACAGCTAGCTCAGAGCCTGCTTCGGATTCTGTGTCTCCCTCTCTCTCTCTGACCCTCCCCTGCTCATGCTGTCTCTCTCTCTCAGAAATAAATAAAACATTTCTTTAAAAAATGGAGATATCTGGAACTGGCCAGGCTGCTGTCAGAAATCTCTCCTGCCTCCTCTTGGCCACGATGGTGAAGAATTCTTCTCTTTCCTGTGACCTGTCCAGGGCTCCCCTCCTTAATCCAGGTTTCTTAAAACCAAGCTTCAAGGGATCCACAATACAACCCCCAGGGATCGGGAGTTCTGCCTCACAACTGCAACTTTTGTGTGTTGTTATTTTGGTGATAATCTTTTGAAAAAGTTCAAGCATTTCTGGATTATTAGGGCCACCCCTGATAACCTAGCCCTGCCCCGTGGACTCAGGTGTGTGTGTTCACTGATGGCTCTATGGCATCATGCAGCTCTATTTTTGTCATCTTAGGCTAATTAGGAATGAGCAAAGACAGAAAATATGTAAATGATGGGTTTGTACCAAGTGAAGGTCAAGTGATGTTACAGCGTGGTGGGTTTTACAGTAACTGGAAATGAGAAAATGATGGGAAAACTTCAACCTCCTGCAGGACACAGAGGAGGAATGCCATATGGCAAAGAACCTGCCCAGAGCGGTGAGCGAGCACAGGCTCCGGGTTCGAGCAGGGCTTTAGTTCTGGCAAAAGGACATCGTCCGTCACAGCAGTGTCCACTCGAATGTCTACATGTGTTTTGGTCTCAGTTGTATACCTAGCTTAACATTTGTGCACATTTTTGTAACATTGTATTTTTAATAAGTTAAAACAACACTGGTCTAAAATTATTTTAAAATAAAAAATATTTTGTTAAAAAAAAAAAACAGCAGAGGCCCAGGTGAATTTCTCCCTCTGTGACGGGGACTAGATATGTGTCACATCTAAGAATCTGCCTCTTCTCTTGACCTTCACCCTCCTGAGGGGAACTGGGCATATCTCATTCCAGCAGGTGCACCATTTGCCCCCTAAACTGCCGTGGAGAAGAAGGAAATGGAAAAAGAAACCTCAGATACCACATTTCAAAGCCCCGTTTAGTTAATTTTGTCTCTGCAACTGGACATAAAAGGAAACCATGGTATCACTCCTATTTCATGGCTTTGTGGTCCTGAGTGCAATACTGACTGACGTGTTACTTCCCTAGAGATTCAGGTGGCCAGAAAATTGTCTCCAACTGAAAAGAGCTAGAGGGGAAAACTGGGGGAGATCCCCTTGTTTCTCTGCTCACTTAGTAACGTATTGCCTTCAAAACAGTCTATAGCAATCTGAATGAGCTAGATTGATGGGTCTTTTCTCCTTCTGAATCCTTCTGTTTTCTTCTGGACAGTTTGCTGTTCCTGTTGATATGTGAATGGCATAGGCTCCTCTTAAGGATACCTCTGCTAAGAAGTCAGGAAGTGCGAGTCAGAACCTTTCATATTAATAAAATATTAATTGACTTCCACAACTTCGAGCTGCCTGCAAAAAAATTATAGAGCTGGTGAAATTTGTCTTTGGGATTCCTGGCCCTCTCTTTTGGGTTTCTTTTTTCTTCTTTTATGAAAGAATGCCTGCATATCAACTGCCTGCTGTGTACCATACCTTGCCCTAATTCTGAACTAGACTTGATCTTATTCTCTACATGCCGAACCCATGCCTCACTTGATTTAATGCAGAGGAGGTGGTACTATCCCCATTTTGCAGCTAAGAGAACTGAGGTTCAGAAGGTTAATGGTCTTGCCCAACCAAGATCAAGGCCAGATCTTCTGATTTCAGATCTCCTCCTCTCTACTTACTACTGCCCTCATACCCTTTATTTTTCTATGTAAAAATATCCTCTTATGTGTTATCTTCTCTCATACATTTATGCTTTATATCAGTTTGCTCAAAGTTATTGACTGAAGGCTTGGCTCCTGTATTTGTTCCCTAGGGCTCCCGGGTAGCCCCTTCCTTGCATTTTGTCAGCTTCTGGATGTCACTGGCAGTTTTTGGCATCTCTTAAGCTTGTAGATGCATCACACCAGCCTCTGCTTCTGTTATCACATGGCCTTCTCTCTGTTTTCTCTGAGTCTCTGTTTTCTCTCCTCATTAAGACACCCATCATTGGATTAAGAGCCCACACTAATTCATTATGACCTCAACTAATTGCATCTGCAAAATCCTATTTCCAAATAAGATCACATTCTGAGGTTTCAGATGGACATGAATTTTAGGGAGACGCTATTCATCCTAGTACAGCCTTTATTAAAGAATGTTCTGGCTTCTATGAACATTTGGGAAATTTCGTTTGCTACAGAGGGGCCTTCCTGCTTTCATATCAGGTTTCCCTAAAGAGATTATTAACTGATTCATTCACTCACAACAAATATTTATTGAACATCTTCTATGTGACTGGTAGTTTGTTTTGTTTTGTTTTCAGTTTATTTGAGAGAGAGAGCGCACACGAGTGAGTGGAAGGGGGCAGAGAGAGAGGGAGAGAGAATCCCAAGCAGGCTCTACGGTGTCACAGCACAGAGCCCAATGCAGGACTCAATCTCATGAGCCATAAGATCATGACTTAAGCCAAAATCAAGAGTCAGACACTTAATCAACTGAGCTATCTAGACACCCAAGTTTGCGAATCTTAAAAAGAAAATCTTACGTTTTCCTTCTGAGTTTTAGTTCACAAATTCCTATTGACCAGACTAACAATAAGAACGCAGGGACCAAACCCTCACCACAGCAGACAAAGAGAGACTTTGCAGATGAATGGACTGGAGGCAGAGTGGCTCGGCCACAATGGTGAGGCACATGCAACATACACAGGAGACACGCCTGAAGTGCCAGGTTCTGATGAACAGGGGGTGCTGTCCTGCAAAACATTATGGGACCTCTTCTTCATGAGGCCATGACTTTCAAGACCAGGAGACCTACTGACTCTCCTAACACACAGAAACAGCCACAGAGAGAGAAAATGAGGAGACAGAGGCATACGTCCCAAATGAAAGAACAGGACCAAAGTCACAGCAAAAGGGCTAAACAAAATGGAGGTAAGCCATATGGCTGATAGAGAATTTAAAGT